GATTTCCCCCCACTGCAAAAGACCCCTACGCGCAAGCGAATTATTGAAATAAAATTAAACCATATGTTAGTTTAGTTTGTCTCGAGTGGACGTTAAACCCCATTTCTCTCTCTTCATTAAGTTAGGTTTCCTTCAAGGTAATTAGAAAGGTGCCTTGTGTAATGGTCGAATGTTGAGCGGCGAATCATTGTTGCCCTTAAATTACATTATGATTGAGTGACACTAGATGAATTTGAATTTCTTTGTTTCTGGGGAAAACATGACCTTCTACGATCAAGTGTACTTTTTATTCTCAAGACAGCGGCGCTACTGTCTACTCTTATATCGAACCTTTGACAGTTGGAATTTGATATAAAAGTAGGATGTGGTGCCGCTGTCCGGGCACAATTCCCCTCATAGCACACTGTATGAGATATGCCTGTCTTTATTTACCCAGTCGGAGCAGAATAGTAGGACGTTAAACCTCATTTCATTTCATTTCATCCCCTCACAGAACAGATCTACAGTGGTTTTAAAATCCCATGACTTTACAGTTGATTGTAAGCTGATTTAAATGACTAAATACCTTGTCACGATATAAATGGTTGGTATATATGCTTCTTTTTATCGAGACACCTATTAGTCAGTTTATTAATACACTATGTATTTATATCTACATACCCTTTAAAATTGTCCGAATCTTCTGATCAGAGTCCGACTAGTCAGTGTTTCTTGGGGATTTCGGATCTCTCCCCTATCTCAAAATCTCAAAAGCGAAATATTTAACCATTTAACCATTGGCACATAGGCTACCTCAGATTTTTTTGATCATCTGTGATATGAATAGATTGCGCAAACATTCAACTTACCAAATATGTGTGAGGTTAGTGTTTAGAATATGGTGAAGGGATATTAAATCTTGGAATCGATTGAGGGATTGATATCAATAGTTAAAGTGTCACACAGTCTGTTGTCACTCGTTTCCGAAATAATTTAGATCACGGAACTGATTGTGAAGAAGATAGTAAGGGTTATCGCCCCTGAATAATAATAATAATAACAAAGCCGATTTGAATTGCCTACTATCTACTAATATTTGTCAGGGTTATTTTTTTAATTAATAGATATAAAGCATACGAAATTACTCAATGGATATTTTATTTTAAATTTTCTTCATAGGATTATTATGACGCAGTGATTGTTGTTTTTTTTCGGGTGGAAGGGTGGAGGGGTTGTAGTATCTAGAATATGTAGTTACCTCCCTTGAACTAACCGATTCCAGCAACTACAGTAGGGTCGCCTGTCCAATCTCGCGGGGTTTCTCCGGGTCCTCCGGTTTCCTCCCACTGCTAAAGATCCCTGTGCGCAAGTGAATTATTGAAATAACATTCTCTCTCGCTAGCATGGAGGTCGGGTGTTCGATCCCTGCATTGGCCGAGAAAGTTCATCCAGATTTTCCGGCGTGGTTCCCCCTTGTCAGTGATGCAGGACGGAGGGCCTGGCAAGGACAGCTGTCTAGTCGTTCGAATGGGACGAAATACCGAGGTCCCGTGTACACATAGGCGTGCACGTAACAGATCCCTTGACAGTTGGAATTCGATATAAGAGTAGGCCGTAGTGCCGCTGTCTGGGCAAAATTTCCCTCATAGCACACTGTATGGCGTATACCCGTCTTCATTAGCCCAGTTCGGAGCAGAACAGATGCGTTTTAACATCAAAGCGACACAAACTAGGTCGTTTCGGGACTAATACACGGTTCCATTTAAATAGGGATCTTTAGCATTGGAAGGAAACCGGGACTCGGAGTGGAGCCCTACTCCTTGTCACGTACAAGCGGGGAATCAAAACCACGCCACTTGACTCAATGACAGACCTTATGTTGCAACGCGCACACGTGTTAACCATTCGCGCCCCACCCCATCCGAACAGTAGATCCTAGCAAACTTCGTGGCGAATACCCGTCTTCAATTGCACGATCAGCGACGAAAAGATAGACGTCAAACCCCATTTCATTTCGTTTTTATTTCCTTAAAAAGCTATCAAATTTTTATCAAAACTTTAAAGATATCAACCCCATTATTTCCCGAAACAAATGCCGTGGGTACGTGGCTGACCGCCATTAAGCTTGGTGGCGATTAGCAGAGAGAGAGACAGGTTCAACGTCGCTCTACAAAAACTAGGTCATTTCGGGAATAACATATGGTATATTTTATTTCAATAATGCAAGAAAGGGGGAACAGTGATTTGACAAATATAACCTGATAAATGAATAAAATGGGGTTTAACGTCCTACTTAGCTGCTAATTAAAACGGGTATACGCCATACAGAGTGCTATGGGGGACATTTTGCCCGGAAATAGAATGAAATGGGGTTTAACGTCCGATTTTTCTGCACCGATTAGGCTAATGAGGATAGCAGCACTACGTAATATTGTTATTTCGAATTCCAATTGCCAAGGGTTCTTTTGCGTGCACGCCAATGTATACATTGGACCTCGGTGATCGTCCCATCGCAACGACTAGATAATGTTTCTTGTCTGGTAACAAGGCGAAAACACGTCGGAAAATCCGAGGAACTTTCACGGTCATCCTCCTCGTTAGCGAGCCAGCTTCTTCCTCTCTAAGCCCCCGGACAGCAGCGGCACTACGACCTACTCTTACATCAAATTCTAATTGTCAAGGGTTCTTTTACGGGCACGCCATTATTTTACCCCCATTAAAACGATTAGATTCCGAATAACCCGACAGCGGTGGCGCGCTAACATTATAAACCTATAACGGTAAATCTCTTTGATCTTTTCGGGTATATTCTATGCCCGGAATAACTTGCGATCTGAATATATAGAGAGAGGAATTTGGGGTTATTCTTCTGAAAGTTTTTCTTTAAACCTGTAACGGGATATTCTTCCAGGGATGTTTTTCCCATAAGAAAACATGATATAAGGGGGTTTTTTTTTATTATAATTCTGGGATATTCTCATTTTACGTACATGTAAACATAGACGGTTTATAAGCAAGATAAAGTCCCCGGCTTCGGTTATGATGGGGAAGAAAGACCTCGACAGAAAAATCTTAGTCTACCGGCCTCGGTTTTTCTTTTTCTCGGGTTGCTCGCTAGCCTGGAGATCGGGTGTTCGATCCCTGCATTGGCCGAGAAAGTTCATTGGGATTTTCCGATGAGGTTTCCCCTTGTCAGTGGTGCAGAACGGAGGGCCTGACAATACAGCTGTCTAGTCCATCGGATGAGACAAAAAACCGAGGTCCCGTGTATATATTGGAATGCACGTGAAAGATCCCCTGGCAGTGGGAATTCGATATAAGAGTAGGCGATAGTGCCGCTGCCCGGGCAAAATTTCCCTCTCATAGCACACTGTATAGTGTATGCCCGTCTTCATTAGCCCAGTATAGGAGCAGAACAGTAGGACGTTAAACCCCATTTCATTTCATTTTCTCAGGTTATTTTCTCCAGTCTTTCTTTCCCCAGCATAACCCCAGTCTCGTGTTTTATCCTACACAGAAAGATGGCCGAGAAAGTTCCTTGGGATATTCCGGCGTGGTTATTCTAGCTTGCATATAGATTTATTACTGCTTGAAAGAAGCTAAATAATAATAATAATAATAAACACTGAATTTATATAGGGCAAAAACACTCTGTTAAAGTGTCTATTGCGCTTTCACAAAAGGTTTCAGTTCTGGTAAGTGAAAGCTTCATTGAATAATAATGTTTTTAATTCTTTTTTGAAAATCATTATTGAGCTTGATCGTCTAATGCTTTGGGGTAGCGAATTCCAATCGCTTTGGATGACTTACCTGTCAGCCAATTTACATAAAAATTATAATTTCAAAGATTTGAACCTTAAAACACATTAAAGTCAGTTAAATTTATAGTTTTTATTTGTATTAAAGGCTCAATACCACTCTTGTTGTAACTGAATAATATGTTCCAATCTTTATTCTAGTCAACAAATTGTACTATTTTACAATATTCCAATTAATTGATGATACAAATTTCATCTTAACACACCCAATTTAAAAAATTGGGAAAAATTTAACTAAATGATTTGAAAAGCCTGACGTAAAGTTTTTTTTAAATGTGACTTAACTTAAAAATATTTTTGAACCCTCTGGACAAGTAAAATAGGATTTAATGGATAATTTACACAACAGGTAGGACACTTAAACATCTAATACTTAGAATAAGGCTATTTTTTATTTTCTGGAGCTGTCAAGCCAGCAAGAGTGTTATTGTCCCTTTAACACTTAAATCTATATTTATAAAATATGATATTGCTGAAAAATATCACCACCTTAAAGGAGCTTAATCACTATTCTTTGGCGACTAGAAATTGACACAAATGGGTTGCAATAATGTAATATGAATGTTTAAAAACTGATTTACGTTCAAACGTTTCTGTTTTTACTGTAATTCCTAATCAGTTATGTTAGGCGAAATACCGAAGAGCCCGAATGGAATGGCAGTCTTTGACATCTGGTTATTCCAGTCTACAACGGTAGTATTCTCCTACATGCGATATGATTAGCCTCGTTCAACGAGTCGTTTCATACAAATGGCGCTCGAAAACATTCCGGGACAATTTTAAAATTTTCATTTTGTCTTAAATATTCGAAGACTGTGGATGATATTGAGTTACAGTCTTGCCTACTTTAAACATAAAAGTTTTATGACACTCTATCGTAGCAACACCCTTTCTGTTGTTTATTTACCGTTAGTAACACACCAACGCACGTCAAGTAGTTGTGACTCCATATCGATCTGGCATATTTTTTGAAAATCGATCGAGCTAACTTGTTCTAAATGTAGATGTACACAATCGAAAATTTGTAGTAAAAATAATATATGTGTGTATTTATATATATTTTATTTCAGCCATATGTTGGATAGGGAGTTATTAATAGCAACAAGATCGGTAATCAATAATTACTATATATTACTCTGCACGTGGCACGCGACGACATCTTGCTGTGTATGGCATGTATTATTGTATGTATTACCGTTTTGAGTTATACGTATGATATGGACTATGTTTTCAGGTGTAATACTATTCGTATATAATTACGTCTTTTATGCAGGTAAGTTTGCTTTGATTTTAATTATATTAACCTGAACAATTTTTAAAAGTTTCCGACTATAACTTTCAATTTAATTGATAAATCTGGATTTGAACTATTTAATAAAAGGTGTTTTCATTTGGTACGTGACGTGCACGTGAACGTTTTCTGTATTCAAAATTTAACGTCCTTAAAGTAAGCCAATGTTGAGATATAAATCATTTTTCTTTCAACTGTCGACACTAAAAGTCAAAAGCGAAACTGAAGTTGATATAAAAAAGACTTCTGCTTCCGTTGTTTAATGGTTTGTACCCGGTCCATATCAGATCAACTCTCTGTTTTCATATAAATCACAACGATTAAGCGTTTCGTTCGTTCGGGGGTAACGTCCGCTGTCAAGGAAATGAAATGGGGTTTAACGTCCTACTGTTCTTCTCCTACTGGGCTAATGAAGACGGGCATAAGCTATACAGTGTGCTATGAGGGAAATTTTGCCCGGGCAGCGGCACTGTGGCCTACTCTTATATCGAATTCCAACTGCCAAGGGATCTTTTACGTGCATGTCAAACTATGCGCGGGTCCTCGGTTTTTCGTACCATCCAAACGACTAGACAGCTGTTCTTATCAGGCCCTCCGTTCTGCACCACTGACAAGGGGAAACACGCCGGAAAATCGCGATGATCGAACACGATACCCCCAGGCTATCGAGCCAGCGTCTTACCCATTTAGTCACCAAGGCTCCAAGGAAATGAAATAAAATGGGGCTTAACATCCCACTGTTCTGCTCCGACTGGACTAATGAAGACGGACATACGCTATACAGTGTGCTATGGGGGGACATTTTTATATCGAATTCCAACTGCCAAGGCTTCTTTCACGTACTGTAGACAGGATCTCGGGTTTTCATCCCATCCGAAAGACTATACGTTGTCATATCATATGATAGACAAATAGTTCCTAAGGAACTTGCCGGAATAGTCAGTCGTGTTGGAGAGGTAGCAGTGGACACACTAAACTTTAAGGGACAATAACACTCTTGCTGGCTTGACAGCTCCAGTAAATAAATATTAGCCTTATTCTAAGTACTAGATGTTTAAGTGTCCTACCTGTTGTGTAAATTATCCATTACATCCTATTTTACTTGTCCAGAGGGTTCGAAAATATTTTTAAATCCAAGTCACATTTGAAAAGGTTTACGTTAGGCTTTTCAAATCATTTAGTTGAATTTTTCCAATTTTTTAAATTAGGTGTGTTAAGATGAAATTGGTGTGTTAAGATGAAATTTGTATCATCAATTAATTGGAATATTGTAAAATAGTACAATTTGTTGACCAGAATAAAGATTGGGACATATTATTCAGTTACAACAAGAGTGGTATTGAGCCTTTAACGCTGTCTGTCTACAATTGAGAACAGACACTGAACTAGTTGACTGACATTAAAGTAGCTAAGTCTCTAACTTAATATCATTCAAAATCTTCGATATCGAAAACACGAATTATTTGTCAATTTAAATCAACATTGATGTTGTGATCTTACGCGGAAAAGGTAGGCTTCTGATATCCAATATTTAAGACAAAATAAACATTTTACCATTGGTACACGAATCGTGTACCATAATGCGTTTCAGCGCCATTTGTAACAAGGGACTCGAAGAACGCGGCTAGTCATGCCAAACGGTGACACCATTCTTATCTGAAGGGCATGCGTCATAAATACTATCGGTGTAGACTGGAATATCCAGACGCTAGAGGTTGCCATTCTTGTGAGACTTCTGGCGTATTTCGCCGAACATAACAGATTTGAAATTAAGAGTAAAAACGGAAACGATTGAATGTAAAACAGTTTATATACATTCAAGTTACATTATTATATGCTTTGCGACCCATTTGTGTCAATTTCTAGGCCCCAACTATTACCGATTTATCTCCTATAAGTCCTAAATCGATGATATTAGTCGAAAACAATAAGTATACATAGAGAATTCTCAGAAGGATTTCTTCCGCTTCCATTTAATAAATTGAACATGTTTATTTAATCGTTGTATGTTTGACAGGAAACGGAGTAGAACGACCTAACAAAATACTGTATTAAGTTTTGGATATGGCGGCCATTCAGAGCAGATATCTATATTCTCCAACTAGATTGTTCTCTGTTTTAACTGCCAGGGGATCTTTAACATACACGGCTATGTGTACACGGGACCTCGGTTTTTTAACATACACGGCTATGTGTACACGAGACCTCGGTTTTTTGTCTCTTCCGAACGAATATACCTTGTCTCTTGAAGACTTGAAGTTATTCCGACCACCATCAGCATAGTACCACTTTATATGATACAAGTATGGATTACTTTGGAGAAAAATCTTAAATTGTACCCATTAAGCGAGAGAGAGAGAGAGAGAGAGAGAGGGGGGGAGATGGGGTTTAACGTCCACTCGACACAAACTAAGTCATTTCGGGACTAACATATGGTTCGATTTCATTTCAATAATTCGCTTGCGCGTAGGGGTCTTTAGCAGTGAGAGGGAACCGGAATACCCAGAGAAAACCTACGAGGTTGTCACGTACAACCGGGGAATCGAAACCACACCAGTTGACCCAATGTCAAACCTTATGATACAACGCAGCGCACACGCTTTTTTTTCTTTTTTTTTTTTTCCCTTGTAAAATGTTTATTCACGCTAACCATTCGGCCACCCAATTCCCCGGAGAGTAATTATCAGTTTATCTCTGTAAATAATTACCGGATTGATGCACATTATACATAAACTGTCAGTTTATAATCCTCGTTCATTGATTACTTGATAATAGTAGAAACTAAAACGGACATACACCTTGCCAAACCGACATTATATTAATTATATATATCTGCAATATTTCACTCGTTGCCTCGAGAGTCGAGAGACCGAGAGAGAGACAGAGAGGTGGCAACGTCAACTAGGCCATTTCGGGAATTATCATTGAGAGAGAGGCGACTTTAAATGACTTACTTATCGAATATAGAGTAGGCCTACGTTGTTTGTCACGAGCGCTGTTAATATCCTTGAAAAACGTTAGAGAGAGAGACACAGAGAGAGAGAGAGAGAGGGGGGGGGGTAACCCCACTCAACACAAACTAGGTCCTTTCAGGACTAACATTTAGTCCCGAAATGTGTCGAGTGGACGTTACCCACCATCCCCCCCTCTCTCCCCTCTCTCTCTCATAGGCGTAGGAGCCGGGGCCCAGATTCGGTGAACCGTTCACTTTTCGGGCAATGTATTTCCGTTATTCGGGCATAAACATCAGAAAGTGGTGATCATTAAGTTGTAGTTGCCAATATATTGTAAATTTATATTGTGTGTAATTGAGGTAATTAATTAAAAATAAACAACCATCACAGCTTTGTGGAAAATTCGTTTTTGTTAATGATTCATCCATTCTGAAAATTTGGGCGACAAAGGAATTTTGGGGCAAGTAGCCTCAGCCGAAGGACCTGGGGCAGGGCTTGGGTAATGGTAATGGGATGTAATCATTACATTTTTAAGTAATTGTTATGTAATGAGTAATGAACGATTTCAAAAGTAATGAGTAATGGAAATGTAAGTAATTAATTAACGCAGTATCATCCAAAGTCTTCGACATTGAAAGCACGAATTATTTGTCAATTTAAATCAAAATTGATGTTGTGATCTTACCTGGAAGAGATGGACTTCTGATATCCAATATTTAAGACAAAATAAACATTTTAGCATTGGTACAAGAATCGTGTACCATAATGCGTTTTAGTGCTATATGTAAGAAGGGACACGAAGAACGAGGCTAGACATATTCCACAAGTCATGTCAAAGGTGGCGTCATATTCTTATTCTTATACTATCGATGTAGGCTGGAATAACCGGATGCTAGAGATTGCCATTCGATTGAGACTTCTGGTATATTTCGCCTAACATAACAGATTTGAAATTAGAGTAAAAACGGAAATCATTGAATATTAATCAGTTTGTATACATTCATATTACATTATTATATGTGTCGATTTCTATATGTGCCAAATATTAGCAATTTAGCTCCTTTAAACATTTTTTCTAAATTATTAATTAGACATTATTTAACTGATCCAGGCCATAATCAACTCTCGATGGCATCAAATTTATCCGATAATAAATAGATTAAAATGGTTCAGTCATATTTTGATTTAATTTAAAAATGGAGGAGCGAGACTTAGCTTCGAACAACAAGTGCGGCGATTGAAATTATTGCACACGTCTTGTCAAACCTTCAAAGGCTAATATATTCACTCACAATACATTAATTTGATTGAAATTTTCAAATTATTAATTTTACTTTATCTATTTTCGAACTATTATAGCAAGAATCATGGTTAGATCTTTATCTAAATCTTACATAATGTATCTTTAATTATACTTTACACAAATCTAATAGTTTTTGCCATTTTATTCTTTTATGATTTTATATCTTAATCTTTTACTCATAATCAGATAGATTTTTAGTACAAGTGCCACAGAGCAGCTTTACAAGGTGGATTTTGGCGCTATACAAGTTCAATAAATTATTATTATTATTATTATGTACTGCCCCTCGCTTCAAGATTTACTTTTGTCGGGACGAGTTCCTGTTTCAATAATTATTACTACTTTAAAGCTAATTCAATTTGTAAATAAATCCCTGGGTAATTTTAAAAGTGGGGTTGGATGGCCGAATGGTTAGCACGTGCGCGCTGTGTCATAAGGCCTGCCATTGAGTCAAATGGAATGGTTTCGAATCCCAGGTTGTACGTGACAAGGAGTAGGGTAGCCTGTACAACCTCGTGGGTTTTCCCTGGGTCCTCCGGTTTCCTCCCACTGCTAATGACCCCTACGCGCAAGCGAATTATAGAAATGAAATTAAATCATGTGTTAGTCCCGAAATGACCTAGTTTGTGTCTAGTGGAGGTTAAACCCCATTTCTCTCTCTCTAATTTTAAAAGCCTAAAGTCATGCGCTCTATTATAAAAATCAAATCATTACTTTCCGATATA